AAAGTTTTTTTTATGCAAGCAATTTTGAACAGAATCCTGCATGTACTTTGAAATAATTTCCTATTGATTAAAAGATGATGGTAAATTCTAATGTTAAAGGTGACATTGTCCGTCCCTTTGTCCAATGATATCATTTTCGTCATCAAACTGTCTATTTTAATGCAGTAGACAATTCATATTTTGAAATATGATTGGGATGTACAGTAGTTTGGAAAATTGTTCTTGTTCATATGCGAAAAACAGTTCTCGTTTCATCTTCTCCCTGGGGCAAACTATAGTGTTCAAAAATTTTTTTTCTTTACAAACGTTTTCCAGACATCTTCTTCCATTTTATACATGTTATATGACAACCACTTCATCTTAAATTATATGTTTCTTGTTTAAGGGCCACCTTAAATAAAACTATATTGTGTGGCAAACCAGAGGACTGATCTGCTTTTCCCTCGATTACTAGTATTCACCTCTCTTTATGTAGCATTATAAAATTCTATATAAAGAGAAGTAATGATCAATTGTCTATTGTTAATTGTCTCTCGAGAATTTTTCACTCATATGGAGACGCCACCACTTGCCAGTGGAGAGCTCCAAATTTTGTCCGATACTCGGCATTCAAGGCCTTTGAGCGGAGTGGAATTACCTACTGCGACACGGGACACAGGTTTATACTATCTCATCCGAAGGACCGGTCTCCGCGTCCCACAGTAGGATTTGTACCCACGACGTAAAGATCAAATCCTTACTTCGCGACTCCACTGCGCCATGCGGGTTGTAGAACTTGTGTATTATCCTTTTGACTTTGTCAGTAAAATATGTTCAATTCAGTTCATGTAGCAATGGTTTTTGACTAAATAAAGATAAATTCACTGCTGCAAAAAATATATGGAGACGAAGATTTTTCAGTTCCCAACGATAGAGTTCCAGATTATAATGAAAATAACTGCATCATCAATCATAACCATTCTAAAACGATGCTTGAACAACTGCATAAAATGTTTATCTGTTCGTTGTTTAACTTCCATCTTGAAAAATGTTCACTCATATCGCAAGATCAGCACTTGCAGGTGAAGGGTTTCATTTATACATGTACATGTACCTTCACTCGGCACGCCTCGTTGCCATTGGGCAATGAGGGTCTTTTCGAGCCAACACATACTGCGATACGGGACCTCTGTTTATGCGGTCGCATCCATAAGCCCGGTGCATAAAATGTAAAAGGCGTTCTTAGATTTAAGGTTTTGTATAAAAATGATAGGCTTTAAAACCTTATTTCAATCTTTACCGGAGACGATTAATCAGATTCCAAATAAAAATGGCACTGTATAAAATGTCTTGGGGGTTCTTGGCATCTTGTTTTGTAGAGAAAATTTTATTTCGACTCGTTGGTCCCGAGAGTGAAGGAGAAAAACCTTATTTATTCCACATCTACTGGACATATCAGTGATAATTCAAAAGATGAATTGCTTAAGATAAGAGTAGAAAGTATTTTAAGGAGTTGAGAGATTGACAGACAGGACGGTTGGTCCAAATAACAGAAATATTACTTGAGAAAAGAAATGTTTATAATTGTATGTACTTTTTAGCAAGAAACAAATCAATATCACTTTTTTTTTAGTTTTGTCGAATAAGAAATAAAGGATGATGTTAAGATACCTCTTTTTTGAGCCATCGGCAAACGGTTCTGACGTCAAACACGTAAAATGTGTATAAAATAAATAGAAGTTGTGAACATTTAGGGATGGTTTTTGAAAGATTGCACAGTTTTGGAAATTACACTTTGAGGCTTGCCAAAGTGCATTCTTATTAAATTTTATTTAACAATGCAACCGCCTCATGTAACATAAATATCTTCAGCTCTTCTGAGCCAAAGGCTCAAAGAGCTAATGCTTTGGTCATTTGTGCGGTTCGTGTCGCGGTGTGCAGTGTGCGTAATCTTTTTAGAATATGGGCCATAACTCAAGAACCCCTTGCCAATCATTGTCAAATTTGTCACGTGGTATTCTTGGCCCAATTAATGGCTACTACTTAAACCAGGGTTATTACCCTTAAAGGTGCATGGACACAGATTTGAATTTTAATATTTTCTGTATGATATTACGACTTAAATATTTTAATAGCATTTCACACAAAAATATATTAAAAATTTTATTTCATCTAAAAGTTATTGAAACTTCAATTTTTTGGATGAACACATTTTCAAAGACATAGACAATACATACTAGTAATAAAACCCATTTTTTGTGTCAAATCAGCTGATATGATGTATAATATGGATTTAGGTATGTGATATTCTCTGTTTTATGACCCTTTACTCTTGTACCATTCATTATTTTAGATACTTTGGTTATGTGCCATCGCGTGTAATATTTTCCATGTGTGTTTAATTTACCAGGTCAAAGGAGACTGTACATACATAATAATTATAAAAAATTATAGTTAGCCTATATTTTGATAAAAATATTCACTTCTCTTTCTGTTCTTAAAAAAATTACAGCTTTAAGGAGAAATGACTAACATTGGAACCTCACTTTTTAGCTCACCTGAGCCTAAGGCTCAAGTGAGCTTTTCTAATCACATTTTGTCCGGCGTCCGTCTGTCCGTCTGTCTGTCTAGCTGTCCGTCTGTCTGTCCGTCTGTCTGTAAACTTTTCACATTTTCGACTTCTTCTCAAGAACCGCAGAGCCAATTTCAACCAAACTTGCCACAAAGTATCCTTGGGTGAAGGGGATTCAAATTTGTTCAAATGAAGGGCCACGCCCTCATTCAAGGGGAGATAATTGGGAATTAATGAAAATTTGGTGGCATATTTTAAAAATCTTCTCAAGAACCACTGTGCCAGGAAAGATGAAACTTATGGGGAAACATCCTCAGGTAGTGTAGATTCGAGTTTGTTCAAATCATGACCCCCGGGGGTAGGGCGGGGCCAAAATGGCCGACCAAACTTTTACATAGAAATATACGTGAAAATTCTTTAAATATCTTCTTCTTAAGAATGACAAAGCCATAATTCATCATATTTACATGGGAGCATGCTCAGGTAGTGTAGATTTAAGTTTGTTCAAATCATGACCCCCAGGGGTAGGGCGGGGCCAAAATGGCCGACCAAACTTTTACATAGAAATATATAGGAAAATTCTTTAAAAATCTTCTTCTCAAGAATGACAAAGCCATAATTCATCATATTTATATGGGAGCATGCTCAGGTAGTGTAGATTCGAGTTTGTTCAAATCATGACCCCCGGGGGTAGGGTGGGGCCAAAATGGCCGACCAAACTTTTACATAGAAATATATAGGAAAATTCTTTAAAAATCTTCTTCCCAAGAATGACAATGCCATAATTCATCATATTTATATTGAAGTATGCTCAGATAGTGTAGATTCAAGTTTGTTCAAATCATGACCCCCAGGGGTAGGGCGGGGCCAAAATGGCCGACCAAACTTTTACATAGAAATATATAGGAAAATTCTTTTAAAAATCTTCTTCTCAAGAATGACAAAGCCATAATTCATCATATTTATATGGGAGCATGTTCAGGTAGTGTAGATTCAAGTTTGTTCAAATCATGACCCCGGAGGGTAGAGCGGGGCCAAAATGGCCGACCAAAGTTTTACATAGAAATATATAGGAAAATTCTTTAAACATCTTCTTCTCAAGAATGACAAAGCCATATTTTATCATATTTATATGGAAGCATGCTCAGGTAGTGTAGATTCAAGTTTGTTCAAATCATGACCCCCGGGGGCAGGGCGGGGCCAAAATGGCCGACCAAACTTTTACATAGAAATATATAGGAAAATTCTTTAAAAATCTTTTTCTCAAGAATGACAAAGCCATAATTCATCATATTTATATGGAAGCATGTTCAGGTAGTGTAGATTCAAGTTTGTTCAAATCATGACCCCCTGGGGTAGGGCGGGGCCAAAATGGCCGACCAAACTTTTACATAGAAATATATAGGAAAATTCTTTAAAAAATCTTCTTCTCAAGAATGACAAAGCCATAATTCATCATATTTATATGGAAGCATCCTCAGGTAGTGTAGATTCACGTTTGTTCAAATCATGACCCCCGGGCGTAGAGCGGGCCAAAATGGCCGACCAAAGTTTTTAAAGATATACATGTATATAGGAAAATTCTTTAAAAATCATTTTCTAAAAAATAGCAAATCCATGATTGGTCATGGGACTACTTTTGGATTTAAACTTTACAATAAAAAGCCATTTTCTTCCTTTTTCCTACCCTTAGTGCTCAGGTGAGCAATGTGGCCCATGGGCCTCTTGTTTGTTTGATATTAGAAGAGACTTGTTCAGGTGACAACGGGTCGGGAGGTCAACAATACCGCTACATCGCCAAAAATTTCAACTCATTACCGCTACATTTTTTCAATTTTTCGACCGATCATTACCGCTACAGTTTTTTAGTCGAAAACAACTCATTACCGCTACATATGGTATCAGCCAGGTATGCAAGTACAGAATAGAAATTTCAATCTCAAAGCTTTCACAAAGATGTTTTGCAGTTCTTATTCTTAATTTTTTGAATTTTGGCAATGTTGACAGATCGAAGTAAAATATAGGACAGAGTCAAATAAAACGTTTGATTGCTGCCATGTAAGCACAAACTGTTTCCAATATTTGAATATAAATTATACTTAGTCCATGTTTTGTTGTGTCTCATTCTACATATTTTGGAGTCGCGTGTCTGAATGTGTGGGATTTTGTATTTCAGGGGATACAGGTCTTATGCATGTTTATGTTGTACTTTACATCAATCTGTACACGCATAAATGGCTGGTTAACGAAATAGGCAATGAAGCGGTAACGTATACTTTTATATGTAGCGGTAATGACTATTTAGCGGTAATGAAAATTTTGAAAATGTAGCGGTAATGATACGCACCCAACGGGTCACCATAGAAAATGCATCCGGATGAAAACAATACACGACCTGTGACTGTGTCGCAATAGGCCTTATAGTATACGCCGCGTCTTGTGATAAAGCATAAGAATGTTAACATTAAGAGACATTCCCACCCCCTTTTAAATTAAGCTTTAGGGATCATCATGGGAGGATCAGAATCACTACCTCAGGTTTCACTGACCACCGATCGTGTAGTTCTAGTCACCGGGGGAAATACGGGTAGGTGTGGCTTGATCACCTTAATGTAACATGCCTTAGTTTCAGAATAATGCATGGTTTTTATTTCTCATAGATTGTTCATACCTTTACGTTCCTATTAATATAATTCTTACTTACGATTACAAAATAAACACTGTTCGTTTGACAAGAAATTTAGGTATGGAAACCCAATGCGGACATGAAATATAAATGTAGCTACGACCCTTATCATTTTTTGAAAGGAAGTTATATACGAGGGGTGATCAAAAAGTTCGCGAACTATTTCTATATGTAGAAAACCATCATTCAGATTAGAAAAAAAAGTTGTTACACACATAGCCATACACAAGTTCTATAAATAGCATATGCTGAATAAAGTTTTGCTCCTTGTTTGTGACGTCACAATGCGAAAATGACGTCACTATATAGGTGACTCGTGACGAAAAATTGTTGTTTCAGGAGTACTCGTTCAACAAACGACTGTAAAATTTGCTATATCGTAGAAATCCCTTTGAAGCAGCGTATAATGATTTGTACACAGGTTATTAAGACAAATGACTTCCTATAGATTTAATCAATAATTGGTTTGATTGTTTTAGTGAAGGAAGGCAGATGGTTAAAAATGATACTTGTTATGTTGTCCAGTGAAAGCAAGTTTGAAAAGAGATGTGTTTTTTATGAAGCAATTTGCGATCAAAGGCCTCCAATTTACACTTTGAAAAATAGCTGAATATTTCAACAATAATATAATTATTAGATACTAGTACGTAAGATATCGTTTACTTTAGATTTTAAACATATTTGATATGATAAAAAGGAGGCGCCAATTCTCTATCCACCTTGAATAAACGTCTCTCCCGAGACAGGAGATTTGGGTTTTTATTTAGATATTTCACTTGAGAAAGACGTTAATGGTAATCTAACAACCAGTCTTTATATGATAAATGTGATGACTTTAACTTTTCAATCGTCAACTTCTCTTACGTATGCAGCAATATGCCTTCACCTGCATACGAAACTTATAAATCTCAGTTGATTCGATACGTAAGAGCATGCTTCACGTTTGAACAATTTCTTAAACGAGGTAAATTATTGACAAACAAGCTGGTCCCGAAACATCCAGAATTCAACAAGCTGATGAAACACGAATTTTAGCAGTCTCGTATAAAGTCGTCATTTCTTACGTTCTATGGTCGATATGTGAACAATGACCTTGTCAGCAAATACAATTTATCATTGAGTCAAATTCCGACTGCCGTTTTTCATACAAGTTGTTAGTTCATTATTTAGAACACTGAATTGACGACGGATTTTCCGTTATTTCCCGATCAAGACAAGGCGCACAGGGCGGGTCTGACCGGTCGGCAGAGGATGCTCCATGGCACCCGTAACTGCTCTGCTCCTATTTTGTATTGTTTTATGGATTTTTGATCTTGAATACAGTTCGTTATCCCCATATGCTTCATTTTCATGATATGTTATAAAAACCTCTCTAAAAACCGTTACCTTGAGACCGCAAAAGAACATGAACATCACTGTTCTATATAACCACAGAGCGCGATTGTTTCTGTTATTATTTTTAACTTTAATTACAAAACATGCAAGCGCCTGTGTCCAAAACGAGGGAATTTCTGCATGATAATTATGGAAATTGTTCTATCAAGATTTTCTTAGGGGAAAAGCAGAACAGCTTGCCAATGCGTAATGGTTTGTTTCTTTGACATGAAGGGTGGTAGTTAACTTCTCAAAAAGAAATATATGGAGATAACGAACAGTGTGCAAGGGAAAAATCCATTCAAACAATACAAATCAGGAGCAAAGAAAATGCTGATTTCCAAAATATCAGAGGTAGGACCAGGTGCCATGAAGGAGTGAGCATCTCCTGCCGACCGGTGTCGCATAATATTTGGTCTGCCTCGTTTAAAGGTCCGGCCGGACCAAATACGATAACATATTTGGTCCGCCTGACTCTATAAGAAAAGGTCCGCCCTCGGCCTATTATACAAATTGTATGCCTGTGTTCATTCGATATTAATTGAAAAACTACTGTTTTAAAATTAATTGAGGATATAAAGTCGTATTAATAGCTAGTGTTTCCTCCAAGAGAATGTAGTGAACAATAAGTAAGAAATTGATACATAAATGATATATTTATTAAAGAAATGTATAGATTTATTGATCGAGTTTCCTGTCGGGAAGATGGGACATGCTTATTTTGTCGTTTAAATACACTGGTATCAACATTATTATTTTAAAAAATATTAAGAATACAAATGTACATACATTTACCTTCACCGCCTGTTTACTGGCAGATTAATCAGTATGCAATGAACAGATGAATGTTCGTAAGTCCAACACAAATCATTTAGTTACACTCTCTTTCCAGTAAGTACATGATAAACGTCCGACTTCCACTCGCAAAAAAAAAAAATCACATCATTCAAAATATATTTCTTAATAGTATTAATTAAAAAAAATCTGTCATTCTTTACGTTTAATATTGTTGTCAATAAGTTAATTAAGGGTCACTGTGACAAGGGCTTTTGTCACGGTGTAGTACCCTACCCCCGTTAAATTGTAAAAACAACATGCCTGCGGATTGGGCAGTTAGGGGTTAGTCTATAATTGTCTCGTTTGAGAAAACCTCAAGTACCATATCCCCTGTGTTTTTATAAGTTAACACTGTTTCTTACCTATTCAAAGGCTAATAATTATATCTACTAGATCTCTGCATTTAATTTCCTGAATTTTGCATTGCATATTCCGATAATTTTTGTTCTTATTTCGGAATCCGACATTTTTATTTTCATTTCCGACATTATTATAATTTTTCTTCACATTTTTGGATTTTTAAAAAGATACCTTTATAGCACTTAAAGGTTAACATATATAACAAAGATGGAAATAGATTTTTAACAAGGCATTGTATATATAATATTATTTATGACGGAAGTATCATGACTTTTTTTCATTGCCGAAAAAATACTGACATGAATTTGACAAATGTCGGAGATGAAAACTTTTAAAATGTAAAAACTGTCGGAATTGAAAAGTTTATTTAATTTTTTTATTTTTGAAAATTCCGGAAATGAAATGCGGTCCACTAAATATTACTCCAGGACAAGGTGAATGTGCATTACTTGGCGAAATCAAAGTAAAGTCGATAGATTGCTGGATTTATAAAATGCCTTTATTATTCATATTTAATATACAAAAGTCATGTCGCTCATATAAGATCTCTGTACGTGCATTATCTATTTATTTATACTTATGTCTCTCGGTTTCAATAAAAATCCGAACATTTTATAGGCCCCTCCTAAATGTTTTTTTTTTTTGGCGGGGGGGGGGGGGGGCGTAGTAAAATCACGCGGATACGTGTCAAAAAATTAAAAATATTAAAGAATACCGGTATTGTACATATATATCCCACATTTTTCACCCCCAGAAAAAAGAGCTTGAGTTAAAAGACACCCCCAATTTCAGAAGCCTGGCATACTAGAATTTCCCGTTAGCATCTAACAAACAATCCCGACTTGATTTTCCACCAGAGAAATACTTCTTCAGTACAGATTTCCACTGCTTTACGAACTATAGGGAGATTTTTTTTCAACCAATACATATTAAAGAGAAACTTAAAAAGCATACAATTTTTTTTTATAAATTAAATAGAAATAGTCTTTTAATATCATGACGTATCAAAAACTTCGTTGTAGCTAATTGGTTAACGTTAGATTTTTCTATGACTGATTTCTTTTTATCATCGGCCACAGCAGCAGCCGATCTATTTGTGATTGTGTTAGAAAGCGCACAGGGGGAAATGAGATGTTCTTTTTTTGTTTTAGTCCAGTAAAATAATTCTTAAATGAAAACGTGTAAAATCATGAGTAAAATATTTTTAAAAACTGTTTTATACTAGGTATTAATTGTTTTTAATTATGTTTCAACTTCATAGTCATTTCTCGTCAGATAATTGACAATTTATGGTTATACGAAAAAGAGTTTACAATAGGTATTCCCTGACTTGGGAGTGTGTAAGATATGGAAGAAAATCGTCATGATTTTCCGGATAATAATGACATTGTAAAAGTGCATGAATAAGAAATTGAAATTTCTTGAAATTTGAAATTGAAATATGTTAGAGCTGCGAGTGACACAAGGATAATATGTTTTCATTTTGCACCGTGAGTTACAACGCACTTTGAAAAATTACGCACCTAAAAAAAATTTTCAAAGTGAGTTAAAATTTGGGACCAAGCTAACGCACTTTGAAAATTTTTTTTTTTTCAAAGTGCGTTAATATCGACCATATTAACGCACTTTGAAAAAAAATGTAAAGATTTATCAATATTCCTTCAAATAATCGCCCTGTCTCTTTCTCGTGTTTTTAAGCTACGAAAATAATCCCTGTCCAAAAATTTCTCTTTATGACATGAAGATATCTGAAATATAAAGGGCGGGCCTTTTCTGATAACTGCGTTTTAAGGTCTGCCCTGTCCCTTTCTCTAAATTATTAAGCTACGAAAATAAACCCTGTCCAAAAATTTCCCTTAAAAACATGAAGTTATCTAAAATATAGAGGGCAGACCTTTTCTGATAACTGCGTTTTAAGGTCCGCCCTGTCTCTTTCTCTAGTTTATTAAGCTACGAAAGTGAACCCTGTCCAAAATTTTTCCTTTAAAACATAAAGATACCTGAAATACCGGTAAAGAGGGCGGACCTTTTCTGATAACTGCATTTTAAGGTCCGCCCTGTCTCTTTCTAGTGTTTTTAAGCTACGAAAATAAACCCTGTCCAAAAATTTCTCTTGATGACATAAAGATATCTGAAATATAAAGGGCGGACCTTTTCTGATAACTGCGTTTTAAGGTCCGCCCTGTCTCTTTCTCGTGTTTTTAAGTTACGAAAATAAACCCTGTCCAAAAATTTCCCTTTAAAACATGAAGATATCTGAAATACAGAGGGCGGACCTTTTCTGATAACTGCGTTTTAAGGTCCGCCCTGTCTCTTTCTCGTGTGTTTAA